ACATTAATTTTCTCACCATATTGCTGGCACTTACGCGCCACCTCTTAGGTGAAGGCGGTATTAATTAATAATTGCGCATTGCGCATCGTTTCGCGCCAATAAATCGACGCCATTAGAACACTATACGTTACGCGGTACGTGCACGCAGTGAAAAGTTCGTTCGCATTTTCATTTTACAAAGGCAAACGTGTGTAAATTGAATATTGTGAAACAAATAAGCGTTAGAATAGTCATCAGTGCGAATAATATTATTTCAATAACATTAAATTTATCAGTGATTCAGTGTTATTCGGTGTGAGCTGCGAAACATAACCAACGAAAATGAGACGCAATAGGACGATTGCTCACGATCATCGAAAATTTATAGAAGTTTTCAATGCAAAAAGAAAAGAAAATGCAGCTACTTATTATTGGTAAGCAGAAATAAACAAAATTCGATTATTATTAGTTGTCTTAGTATTAGATTCTTAGATTGTTAGGTGGCCGTCTCAGATTCCCGCCAAAATGAGATAGGTACAGCTAATTTTACACAAATTATTTTAAAAAAAGCAATTATGCGACGTATAATTATACTTAAAAGACAAATTTCAAGTTTTTTATAAAAACGTATGCGTTATATTTTGACATTTTTTGTCCGAAAAATTCTCGTTTCGTATTAACACAATAACGTGCTTTCATGCAATCTAGCGAATAGAAATGCTTAGTATCGATCAGAATATTGTTTCTTTAAAAGACAAATACCCGTTGTTCGTCTATGCTAGAGAAAAATGCTGGGTAGATTTTTCGTAGGTAAATGCGCAATTGCTTTGACGCCGGGTGTCTCGACGCGAATCGTAAAAGAAACATAACCTCTGTTATGGTGATATTCGGCTTGAATAAATGGAAGTGAAAATTCTGTCGTTGAATAGGAAAAACGTAGATAAAAAGTCAGATTGTCGTGTATCGGTATTAATTTGGTATTGATTACGATTATATTTGTAAAATTTATAAGTAGATTACAGATCTTTATATAGCTCTACATATTCTATTATCTTCAAATATAATTAATATATAAAATAATTATTGTATTAAAATATATATAATGTACACATAAATATTATTTAGAATTCTTTTATGAATTGCATTATTTATATATTATGTTAATTGCAACTTTTTGTTACAAGAAATCTTTTATTTTATATTTACTTGGTATTTAACAATAGTTTCTCATTCAAAAAATTTAATACATTTTACTTACTATTACAAATAAGTTTAATAGTTGCTACAAAAGTAAACTATTAAATGAACTATTAAACTATTAGTAGAACTATTAAACTAGTAAACTATTAGATTGAAAGCATTTTACTCTTTCAATTACTTGGAAAATAGAATTGTGTATTGTTCACACTATCAACTACATTAAGGTTGTTTCATCAAAGATGGACAATAGCTTGGATGTTCAAAGGTTGCTTCCACGTGATTGAAATTTCGTTTTACACGATTTGAGGTCAACCGACTTAGTCAGTCGGTCAGAAGTTGCTTTATGTTAAGCTTTATTGATCGTGAAGAGATAATCCTGATTGTTCCTTTTTGAATTGCTATAGAAGTTTAATGGATAAGATAAGTTTCTGGTAGATATTAGGGATTTCTATTCTGATAGAAGATAAAGATTTAATCAATGTTTAGAAAATGTTTGGAAAGATTTTTATTCAGAATATGTCATTGTTAGAACTGTGATTGTATAAGAATTCTCAAAATTTTTTATATAAAAAAAATCCCTTTTATTATTTGAGATAAAGAAATAGAATCCTAAATTTCATAATTTGCATAACCAATAACATTTGTTTTCAGGAGAATAATTAGTATATAGCGATATTGACTTAACTTTAAAAAAGTTACATTTTTATTGCTTAATTTCAAATTGTTTATAATAATATTTTTACTCTAATTAAGCAATAAAAGTAGTCGAACACAACCTTTTGGCTAAATTATCGTTATCCGCAAATTTATCATCGCGTAATTTGATTCGCGTTTCGTTGTGAAACTCAGCAGAGTTTCATCGAAAGTTGGAGAAAATTGAACTGTAACTTTGTGTGCAAGCATAGCGGCTTTTCTACGAGAACTGAGAACGATTGAAGCTTTGCACGGTCAAGGGAAAATTTAAGGAATTAAAAACTCAATATATCTGAACACGCGTAATTTCCCAAGCTATTAATTGATCCATTTTAATTACGAAATTCACAACTACATGATTCGAGATACAAAAGTTCTTATACAATATATTAGTTAACATTTTCGTACATTAATTATACGATAGTATTTTTTATTTTAAAGTATTTCTCTCTTTTTCTCAAACAAGATTTTTTCTCAAAATCATTTTTCCTACAACCCTTTAAAATTATTTCCTTTCACGTTTCTTTAAATAGGAATAATTAAATAAATTTCTTACAAGGAATAACTAATCATTCCATCGTTTATATCGTTTTACAAAGTAGACGAAACAGGAAAGAAGAAGCATTAGTTATCCAGAGGAAAGATTGAACAAAGTTAAAACTACTGTTCCTCCTGTATTTCTTTCTCTTCCTTTCATTCTTTTATTTCTGATCGTAAAGACCGAACCGGTTAGCGAAGACTTATCGCGAGGGGTGTCGCAGCGTAAAAGCATATCAGCCTATTTTTCTGTCGTAAGAAGGTGGCGTTGCGAGAATACCGGAAGTTAACAACGTCATGTACACGCGCGAAACAAGTCTTCTTATTTCTCCAGGGACGATCTCCAGAAAGATTCCTCTTTTCTCGTTCTTGCGCGATAACTTTTCTCCTTTTAACGGGTCGTTCTCTCTCTGTCATCCGCTTTCTTTTCTTTCTTCTGTATTGATCAGAAGTCCGCGAATGGGCCCTCGTGATCGGAATTCAATCAGTTTCTTACAGAGTGACCGTCGGCGATAAATGAATTCTATCGAATTCCGATGAAATTTTGAAAGTGTAACAGTATTGTTTCCTTTGACTCGAAATTCCATTTCCTTTTCCTTCGTGATAAAAATTAATCTTCGTGTGAAAATAGGATTGTATACATAGCATATGTTTATGTCTATAATTGACCGTGGTCCTGTATTTATTTATTTTTATTCTTTGCTATCTATATCGGAGATTACACGTACAAATAGTATACATTGCTCGGATTGGACATTGTTATGAAAATTATTTAATATTCCATTTGCTTTAATTATATTGTATAAATTTTTTAAAATAGGAATTGTAGTTTGTGTATGTAAGATTCTATATTTATTGGAATTATATTCATGATTGTAAAACATAATTTAAAATATGGTATGGGTTGTCTCATCATTCATATATTCGTTTAATAAAATTAAATTTAAATTAAGAGATGTTCCAATCTGAATAATGTATATAGTGTGTATGTTGGAGAAATATATGTTTCTGTTGTGATGTTTTAAAATAGTATAAATATTTTGCTTGCTATAATTATGAAATTAGATTCATGGTTGTAAAACATAAAAATATCAAGGTGAAATAAAATTGAATTGAAATGCTGTTTTCTCTCCTCTTGTGAATTAACTTCGAAACAAGTTTGTGAAGATTAATTTTCCATGTCTAATTTTAAGTAGTTTTAAATTGGAAAAACTGTGGGTTTAATTGTAAGCCTGGAATATGATACTTTTCTTCTTCAGCAAATTAACTTTAAAAGTTAATTTAACTTTTTAATGTACATATAAATTACCTTTAGGAAATACAATATATCTGCTGTATTTCTTAGTCACAGGATAATATCTTAAAAGTAATTACAGAGGTATAAAGTTTTTGTATTTCTTTGTTATTTATATGAATCGAATTTTGGTGTTTACAATATATTGTTTCAAATATGTGAACTCTTATTTTTATAATAAAAAAAAACTATGATAAGAGAAATACTATTAATAATATTTCATATATTTCAAATGATGAATTATGATTAGCTTGTCTCAATAGTTATTTTTCATTATATATAAACTTTTTTACAAAAATCAATTAATGATATTAAGAATAAATTATAAATTGATCAGATTATAGATATAAATCAGATATAGATATGTTATATAATTACAATATCAAATAACCAAATCAAAATTATCTTGGAAAAGTAGAATAGTGGATGATTACCAGAAAAATTACAAAAATTGAAATTATAAAGATTTATAGCTGAAAGATCAACGAATAAAGATTTTCATCCATATCATTTACCATAGAATGTTGATATACTTAATTTTCAAAAACAAAACAGATTGAATAGTTTGCCAAGTTCAATAGGGAAATTAATTAACGTTAATTGGGATCGATGTGTTTGCGTGGAGCATAAAGGGTTGGGAATTACTTATCATTAGTAAAGTTTCATCCACGTTCGAGCATTAGATAGACATAGTTATACTTGCTTCTTAGAGAAGGGCATTAAGGAGATAACTAGAAGAGGATTAAAGGGAATTTGTACGAGATAGTTGGTAAATGAATTGGCAGTTGTCAGATGTCAATCATTAGCAATATATCGAGTACTTTGGAATCAATCGATCTACTTCATTACTCTTACCAACAATAATTCCATTACTTCGATTGAGAGCAATTAAGTATATCCAACAATAGAAATATATCATACGTATTGTAATTTCTTAACACTGTTCTATTTTTTATATTTCAAATCAAAGAAGCTTCTTTAACAGTTTCAAAAAGAATTTTAACATGATCCAAAGGGTGTGCCACAATTAAATATATTTGTACAAATTTTCCAAATTATTTTTCCTGTTCTTCAAATTCAATAATTTTATGTAATATTTCCTAATTTATATTCAATGTATAATCAAGAAATATTTTCTATTTCTTTGTTGGATATCCTCAATAACAGGCTATATCATATCTCGACAAATGAGTCCCGTGACGTTAACGATGTTTCGATAGGAATTGCAATTTTATGATAATCGATGCGAGGCCGTAAATCGTGTTTATGGCATAACGGGATTCCTGTTTCGTTTCAGGTGGCCTGGATGCTTTTCGACAAGAGCGCCATCCTGACAGTACAAAGTCACGTTATTACCAGGAACCCTAGGATATCCGTGACCCATGATAAGCATAGAACCTGGTTCCTACATATCAAAGATGTTCGGGAGGATGACAAGGGAAAGTACATGTGCCAGATTAATACGGCAACCGCGAAAACCCAGTATGGCTATCTGCACGTCGTAGGTGAGTAATTTATTGTTTTAATCGTATAAATATTCAAAGTAGGAATATTTATGAATGAAAATGACTTGAAAATTTGTGTAAAATTTTTATTTTCATTATATGAATATTGGAAGATTTATGGAAGGAATAAACTAAAGTTCAGCAATCGTTAAAAAAGTGAAGCTTTTAAAAATTATATTAAAAATAAATCTTCTTTGATCTATACTTGCATACATATTGGAACAATTTTAGTTTGTTAATTTAATATCAATTATAGAAGATCATATCATTATAATAAAGAATTAAGGTAATTAATTATAAGAAAAAGTGATGTAGTTAATATAATTATTTATAATAAGAGTCATTTTCAATCAAAAATATTATTAAATAAATATTAAATAAATAAATAAATTTTATGCATGCATTTTGATATAATTATTATAGTTATATTAATTTATAGGAAGATCATGTTTTAAAATACACATTTTATCTAAATTATTCTCTTATATATAACATGTGTTTCAAATTATTGGTCGAAATAAGTTAGCAAACTATTATAATGGATTTTGGCTTTGAACTATCTTATTCATGTTAAAATAACTGCATACATACTTCATTCGATTCGAGTTCGTTCACGTTATATTCGATAGATTTGCAAATACACAGAATGTCCCTCAGAACTCGTTCAGTAATTCATGATATCACTTTTCATTTTGTTTGTTCTGTAATTTTCATATCGAACGTTGTAATTATTCTCTTTGCTCATTTTCTGTCTCGTGTTTTAATTAATGATTACGGTTTCAATAATAAAAAGCCTTTTATTTCGTGGAAATAAATAATAGACTAGTTCACATATTTTCACGTGAATTAAATGCACTTTAAATAAGGTATAATCATATACAAAAGAATTATACGATATTATTTTTTTTTGTCGAAAATAAAATTTTTAAAATCCACGAAAAGATTATTTCGTAATATATATTCTATGTTTAAAGTAAGCTATAAAAAATAAATGTGCACATTCTTAAATTTACAATTTTTCAAATAAATATCTCGGATTAAATGTATTTCATTTAGATTTTGAAAATTACATCGCACTTGAAATTAAAATTCAGTAGTTGTTTAATTAATTCAAATCTCTGCTTTTTAAATGCAAAACATTATAAATAATTATTTTAATGCTCGGAAAACTATCAGAAATGGCACATAAATACTTTAAACATAATCAGGCGAGTTACATACTACATCTGCAAGTTTGTTTGCGGTGAGGTATACCGACAAGGGACGCTTTTAATAACCTCATTCTGAGCGAATAAAAAAGTGTTTAATTCATAGTTAGCTTATACGTGTCATCTTTCTTCGTTAGATTAAGCTCTAGGTTTAGTTTAAAGCTAAATTAAGTTTACCAGATTAAGCTAAAATTCCTTCACTTGTTACTTTCGTATCAATAATTACAATCGTAATAAGTGAGAATTATTGTTACGAATAATTATATAATTTCCTTTCCGTAAACTAATTCAAAGCAAGTTAGATTCGAGATAACAAAAGAATTCTTCGGACAGGTCATTAGATAATAAACGTTAATAAATTTTAAGGACAGACAATGCAACGAATAATTATTTAATCCCTTAAGAAATTTTCAATTTGGAAAAGAGTACAATCTTCTAACAATTTCAATTCGATTCATTGTCAATTACAATAATATCATCGAAAAAACACTCTTGTTCGAGAAAAAAATCTCCATCCAATTAAAATATTAAAAAATTCTTCTCACATTTTCATGATCGCTGGAGATTGACCCCGAGTGGACACGATATATTCAGGGAAGAAAGCATCTCGTTGAATGGACAGGGCAACAATAATTTAATCAGCGGAGGGTATCCGGGGGATGAGCGTGTCGGGTAAGAGTCGGTCTTCGTTCTGCCATCCGGGAGAACATATTAATATCTCGAGTTTTGACGTCTGAAGTCGTCGGCGAGGCGGCGGAAGCTCAGTCGTTTGCAAGGGTGACGGGGAGGGGTGGATGTTTCAGTAGTCGGAGGAGTAATCAGAGGGTTAGATTAATTGTTTCCACGGGACTCTTGGCCCGAGCGTAGCACAAATACACGGAAGACTTCGAGGCGGCACTTCGTGATAATGCCGACGGAACAGACACAATGCAGACTCAATGCCACAACTCACCCCCTCTCGGTTATCCCCTCTGTTATCCCTCTCCTTGCTCCCTCTCTCTCTCTCTTTCCGTAAGGAGAAACGCGTGTAACGCGTGCAAATATTCGACGCGGGTCCGAGTCGCTTAGAG